AAAGCGTTCAATACAAAAACAACTGGACTTTATTTAAAGTTTATTTAAAGTCCAGTTGTTTTTGTATTGAACGCTTTTTGAATTCATCATGTCCTGGATGACTGAGAATCTTCACCAGCTTATGAGCAGAAATTAGCACAAAAAGGTGGAAATTATCTAATAAAAAGCAGCAATTTGCAAAACAACAGCTGAATGGTAGCTCAAACAGCAAAATAAAGTTTAATTTACCATAAGGAAGTGAAGAGAGCAAGTGTGCCCAATTAGACTTAAGCAGAAATTAGCACAAAAAGTGGAAATTATCTAATAAAAAGCAGACGTGCAAAAACAGCTGAATAATAAAAACAGCAAAAAAGAAGCTTAAATTACCAAAAGAAAGTGGAGAGAGCACAATTTTGCTGAATTAGGCTGAAACAATTTGAAATTAGTGTAAAAAATATTGAATTAGCTGAAGCTAAAATTAGCATAAAACAGCTAAATAGTAGCTGAGATAGCAGAAAAAGCTGAAACACAGAAATAAGTAGTGCATAACAAGCAAAATTAGCAAAAATAAGTTAGAAGAATCACAAAAATGTAGTTAGCAGAAATAATTTGAAAGGAGCACAAAACAGCTGAAAGTAGCTGAAAAAAGTTTCAGTTTGTACAAGGAAGCTGAACCGGAACAAAATGTGAAAGGAGCAGTAAAAGTCTGTAAACTGATCTAAAGTTTTGACAGGTGTAAAATGAGCTCAATTAATTTTCTATAAGAAAAAAAAAGTGTCAGAAAAGGTTAAATATTTCATAAAGCTAAAGTTGCACCAATACCAAAAGTTATAGCACCCTTCTGAACCAGCTGAATGTTTTTAATCTATGATTTGTTGAAATAGCACAAATATTGTGAAATGAGAAAGATTCCAAAAAACGTACGGAAGAAAAATGGATCACAATAGTGTGCATGCTTCATAAACATTCACACAATAAAATGACTTCATAAAAACCACCAGCATGAGTTTAGGTTTGAGTATCATTATTATTCAGTTTTATGTGGCCTCAGTTAGTAAAACAGGACATATGAACAAATTATGAATCCCTAAACTCATAAGCAGTTTGTTAGTTGGCACTTTCTAGTGTCATCGTTTCTATGTTGCATCTATAAAATAACATTTAACCTTCTATATTTTTACTTCTTTTTTCATCGTTTAAATTGATGAGTTCTGTATTTGTCATTTATACTTTAGTTTGTTTACAAATCTACATCTCTTTATTGATGAGACATTTTTAATTAGATAGCAGGACAATTTTTTTTTAATTCACAAAGTAACATTTGCAATAAACTACCGATTAGCCATAACAATATGAACATAGGTGAAGTTCTGCTTAGAGAAATATGCACAATAAATAAGCATAAAAAGGTTTAAAGCATGCCTGCAGGCTTCACCAATAAAAGTCTGACTGTCTCTGGTTGAACATGTAAAACATGGAACATGTAAGAGAGAAACCCAATAAACAGAGAACCTATAACAAGTGTTCTGTGCTCTGCTGGTCAGAGCAGTTTTCAACAAATAGAAAGGAGAACCTATCGTCCTTACTGCGACTTACTGATGGTGAAGCACGGCTCTAGCTTTGATAGCTTTTGGAATGCATGACTAACGAGCAGACGCTTTTCTGTCTTGCACCGTATATGATTTTAGTTTAAACACAAATCAAACAAGCTGATTTTCCTCCTGCAGCTCGCAGTCTGATTTGAACTTCATCCGTCCACATTGCGTTATTGAACGACAGAGCTGGAAGAGCTCCAAGGGCTTCCCACAAGCCCCACACTGCCACTGCCTTCCTGGTATAACAATTTCACCTTTTCCCAACAAAAGGAGAGTGATGGAAAGCAGAGGGACGTGTCTCTGTGGGCTGCTGAAAGACACTGACGGGCGGTTTTTGTCTTTGTTGTTTAGCTTTGCACAAACATCAGTCAGCTGTCAGCAAGGTGATGGTGGCTGAGATAGAAAAACTGAGCAGGATCAGTGGTTTATTGCATGATCTACACATAATATAGTACACAATAATGTGAACCATTCAGTTATAGGTTGTGACAACAGTATTTTTCTTAATGGAACTGACAAAGAAGAAATAATGAAGGTAGTAAAAAATCTTACAGATAAGAGATCAAAAGACTGGGTGGACATGGATATGATGTTTGTAAAGGACATAATGAGTTATGTTATTGAGCCGTTTACATATATTTGTAATTTATCATTTTCAAAAGGAATATGTGTGTTCAATAATTATAGACCAATATCCTTATTACCACCGTTCTCAAAAATTCTAGAAAAACTATTTGTGACCAGATTAGATAAATTTATTACTAAACAAAACATTTGAAGTAGCAGTCAGTATGGTTTAGAGCAAAAAACTCTACATCAATGGCTCTCATGGAAATAATAGAACAAATAACTACTGCTGTCGATCAAAAACAGTATTGTGTTAGTATTTTTGTTGATTTAAAAAAAGCATTCGATACTATTGACCACACTATTCTCCTTGAAAAATTAAATAAATATGGTATAAGAGGACCAGCATTACACTGGGTATCTAGCTATTTAAAAGATAGGAAACAGTTTGTACCAATAAATGGTGTAAGATCTGACCTGTGCAATATCACTTGTGGAGTTCCTCAAGGCTCTGTACTTGGACCAAAGTTATTTATTTTATATGTGAATGACTTAGTGAATGTATCAGGACTCCTCAAATGTGTCCTTTTTGCAGATGACACCACATTTTTTTGTTTGGGTAAAGATGTAAAACGGATGTTGGAATTGATGAAGACAGAATTTGATAAAATACAAACTTGGTTTAAACTTAATAAATTATCATTAAATTTAGATAAAACTAAATACATGATATTTAGTAACAAAAAGAGAACTGTTGATGATCCATTTAAAATTGAGGGTGTTGAGATTTGTAGAGTTAATGAGATGAAATTTTTGGGTGTAATCAATGATGAACAGCTAACATGGAAAAATCACATAAATTCTGTAAGAACAAAAATATCTAAATCTATTGCAGTACTATACAAAGTCAGGGAATTATTAAATGATAAAGCTCTGTACATGTTGTATAACACAATCATTGTTCCACATTTAATCTATTGCATTGATGTTTGGGGGAAAGCATGTAAAACATTTACAAAGTCTATTTTTATTTTACAGAAAAGAGCTGTAAGAATCATCACCAGAAAGCATTACAGTCACCCATCAAGCACATTATTTCATCAACTGAAGTTACTGAAGTTCCATGATTTGGTAGATTGTAGTATTTTATCAGTTATGTATAGGGCTCAAAATCACACATTACCATTAAATATCCAAAGAAATTTTGTTAAAAGACAAAGTTGTTACAATCTTAAGGGGGCAGAGATATTTGTCAAACCACAATTCAGAACTAGTCTGAAGGGAAGGTCTACCTCAATCCAAGGAGTTGGTTTGTGGAATGGTCTAGAGAGTGATGTGAAAAATGTCAAGTCAATGTGTACATTTAAGAAAAAGAACAAAGCTGAATTGTTAAAAAAAAAAAAGAAGTAGCTTAGTGTGTTTTTGTATTAGAGTTAGAAAAATTAGAAAGAGTTATTCGTTTTGTTCCGTTACTTGAAAATTATTATGATTGAACTAATTGTTTGAAAAAAGGGGCAGATATAATAAGATTTTTTCTTCTTTCTGCTGCCTTTCATTTTAAATCTCTTGTATTTTTTTATATAGTTTATGGAAATGTTTTTTTTTTTTTTTTTTAATGAATAAACTTTATACCATACCATAATATATATGAACACAACACAAAATGTGTAGAAATTCATATACAGATATATACACAGTTTACGTATTTGGTCACTAGAGATTTAAAAATACAAAACAAACAAACAAAAAAACCATCTAAGACCCCTAAGATGGGCACTGCAGGTGTAACCACCCTCTTGCTTTCACGATCAGTCATTTCTAGCAGCAGGGTACAAATCCTGTTGTCTTACTGTAAGTACACCAAATATGCCAGAATACGCCTCCATATTACTGTGTATCAAACTGTAAAGTGTTTGCAAACAGGCTGTTTCAATAAGAAGGCATGAATTGTGATCAACTCCTCACTGCACCACGACACTGAAGAGTTCTGCACTGAACCAGTTGGCTCATTGCACAAAGGGTCAAATGTTTTACTCTTTTTTTCCCCCCTCTCTTTTACTGAAAAGGTCTCTCTTGAAAATGAGTTGGCATAAATAAAGGGTAAATAAAAAAAAAAATAAAAAAATGAATTCACTGGGAGAATATTTCTTGTATATTGTGCTGTATATATTGCCAAAGCATGCACCCAACTGGCAGAAGGTTAACCTAATTTGGCTTAAAACACATTAAACCAATGCAAAAAGTTATTATTTTTTGAATCTCCTGCAAAAATACCTCTCTTTTTGGTAATACAGTACAGTACAGTACTTATGGTTAATGGGGGTACGATCCGTTTGTAGCACTTTGGCGCCCCCTGCTGACATACTTGTGTAACTGTAAGCAGAATTTGGAAGTAAACATTTCTCTTAAAGTTTTATTTTTTATTTAAAAGTTCCGCTATTTGCCTCTTTGATAATAGATTATACCAAAATGAGTCTTATACTTTATATCAAATCTCGAAAGGATTGTAGGAAATGGCAAACACTAGCGTTACTAAATTTGATTTTGAGCTCATCACATTTGCAAGAAACAAAACCGGCTACAATTTTTGAACTTAATACACTTTTACATTTGTACACTGTCAGATATTTTAGTCCATAAATGACTTTTTATTATTTTTTCCAAAAGTACCAATAACTAATTTTTTACATGAACACATCTCAGTGTTGTTTTATGAAACATGGCACTAATTGCATCACTGGACTCAGTGGAACATGAAATCCTCTAATACGACTTAGGTAAATCTCAGATAAAACCAAATTGCACAAGTTCCCCCACCTCCTAAAGCTTCTTTTGTTGCTACTTCATTATTTTCCCAGTGAAGTGTATGCATGCCTCCCTCCAGCCGTAGTTTGAATAATCCACCCAAAGCGTAGTCAGACGGTAAGACCCAAATCTGCTTCTTTTTGATTCATTTTAAAATCTGCAGGTTTCATTTTTCTGTTTGATGCCATATCTGTCATCAGAACAAACACGCTGACATTGTTGTAGTTGGTGATTTGTGGCACAGACAGAACGTGACAGACTTGTAACTGTTTTATTTTCAGCAGTGGGACAGATTCTGCAGGAAAAAGGAGGCTCACAACTTCAAGAGATGGAAAGTTTGGTCTTTTTGTTTTCATTTTCTGCCCTCGGTGTTCTTTATGCCATGAACACCATTCCTGAGTTTCAAGAGTAAGTTGCATTATTTACTGATTTAGCTTATACTTTTTTTTTGTTTGTTTTAAAAATCAAAAATTCTTTGCGAATCCAAGCTTTTTACTGAATATATTTTCAATCATGTCTATAAAAGTGGCAACAATAATTTACATATTTGTTGGCAATACAGCCAAGTTTGTGCCAGTACTTATTAGTCAAAAATCATCTTTGGAAGTGGTGTAATGTTGGTGGTGATCCTTCCAGTGTCATGTGATGGTAAATATTTCACTGCCACCAGAGGACTCTGTAAGCTTTTCTTACAACTGAGCCCAACTCATGATTATTTTTCATCATCCACAAACTCCCATAGACATTATGTGTATGCAAACTCCTATGCCAGCGTTTTAAACTTAAATCATTTTATAATGAAAAGAGCTAAGTCGTACCTATTTTTTATTTTGTTCATTCATTCAGCCTTTATTTAGACAGATAAGTCACAATGAGCCTATAAGACTCATTTACAAGTGAGATCTGTTTAGACAGACAAAAAGAAGTGAAACTGGACACGTAGGAATTGGAGGCGAAAAAATTCCTATCAGACTTTTTTTTTCTGCCTGAGAAGAAAAAACTCTGATATTAAAAAACACCTCGCACAAACAAGCACATAGTGACATAGACTTTCTGCAGAGGGGGGGAGACGAGAGCGGTGACCATGTTCATAGATGCTCTCGAGGACACTGTATGACTTCTGATAAGGATGTAATAATCAGTCAGTGTCCTCCGGTGCGATCCATAAACATTCTCGAGGAATGTCGTGAAATGGCCAAGAATAACGTCTATGAGAATCCAAAAGTCCTGAAATGATGACACAAAGTTTATTCAGCTGGTTTCATCTGGTTATAAGTTAGAAATTCCTCAGGGAGGAGGTGGTGAGCATCAGATCACATGTTCTCCAGGCGAAATCAGAAAAGACGGCCTTGAAGGACAACCAAGGGAACCAAATTCAGATAAACACCAGTTGTTTTGGGGACAGACAGAACTTAATGACATCTACCTTGAGTCTGTGTTGGTCCACTCGGTTCTGAAATGTCCAAATTACATGGCCACACTGATGGAACGTGACTGAGTAAAATCCCCGAGATCTGATCCATTCAGCCCAAAGCATTTCAGTCCGGGTACTTGAGACACGAACCAAGTTATCATAAAGGTAAGCAGCGTGATCGGGTCCAAATTTGCTGCAGAAGATTTCCTTAATTGTAGATAAAACCAGCACTAGCTGAATCCAAAAAGCAGGAACCAGTTATCGGGAATCCAATTAAATATTTGTCCTTAAAATCCACAGATGGCAGCAGAGATAGATAAATCATCGTCTTTCAAGTCGATGAGATATCCAGCTGCGTGCGTGCCAACAGGGCAAATCGGCTCGCCTAAAGCCTGTCTTCTCTTTGAAGAAATGTTGTAAATTGAGTTGAGGGACCAACTGATCAAAACAAGTCCATAATTATGGTTCGTAAGAAATGCAAGAGAGGCTCAGAGCAGTCTCACAGACAGACAGAGCAGCAAAGCAAAGCGGAGAGGGAGGGGAGGGGAAATGCATCCGACCTCGGCAAGAGCAAGTGGTGAAGTGATAATAATTAAACCTTATAAATTATGTTGTGGGATTTCATGTGACCTTGAAAATTAGCTCAATAGCCATAAATCTGACTGAGTCTGAGCCATTTTTGTGTTGGCTAAGGTCAGTTAGTTGTAGCTGCAGTCTTGAATTGTGTTGGCTCTATTGCATCCATTGATTACTTTTTAGAGCTTCTTTGCAATTTGACCTCAATAGGTAATGGCATGAATTTAGCAACAGAGATTGCACATTTAGTAAAGGTTGGAGAAGAGTCGTAGCTACTACCATCCCAAATCTTAGCTCAATATCTGTAAAATTATTTGGGACATAGCCAGTCTTGTCTTGTAAGCAGTTATTACTTTCTGAGAGGTTCAGTAAAATTTGTGCAGTGGTTTATGGGATCCCTCACTGATACACAAACACATAGATGTAGACAAAAAAAAAGAAAAGATATCATTATTAACAATAAAACAAAAAGCCATTAGTAAAGTCTACATCCTAATCTTTTGCGCAATTCCCCTAAAACATACTATACATATTTCTCATTCCCACAAACTTGTCAACTCCTCTCAGGTGGATTATTCGGCTGTTTTTTGTTGTTTTGTTGCTCATGTGGTTGCTGACAATCAGCACGGACTGAGCAGAAAAGTTGGATGAATTGCTCTTGACACTCCGTACGCCTGCTGCTCTCACACTCTGCAAACAGTATTGTGTGCATAAATCTTCCCGTGCTCGAGTCAATTGCCTTTGCTCTCGCACCGTTTGTTTTTCTTCTGTTAGCGGCTGCTGGGAGCTTCTGGGGCTGCGGTGGTGTTTGCTGGGAGATATCTTGGCCACATTAATCTTTCCCACTGTGCGTCGCTGGCACCTTTGACCAGTAAACAGACTAACACTGCCTTACCTTGCTGCTTCCCACACCTCTGCCTATGATTGATTACAGCTTTTTAACGCTGCTCTTTACAACCACTATAATGGAAATTGTCTCCCTAAATTCACAATATAGGTGTATAGTCTAAAATGTGGTGAGTTAAAATTGTTTTGGTGGGAATTAAAGCACTTGAAGCGATGTGTTATTACAAAACAGAGATGAAATAAAAAAATGGTCAAATAAAATTAGCATTTATTGAAAGAATGCTTATTGCCCACTGCCTTACATGACAAAGTGTTAAACAGGGAGTCCCTCAAGGAGCTCACTAAAGCTTCTTAAAGTTTGTGTTGGCAACGACTTTACTGCCACACACAATCATCACTTAGTATCTGTAAAACTCACAGCTGTTTTTGTGGTTGCTACGTTTTTTTCAGCTGTGGCAGTCAACGTTAATTCAGTTGACCCCAAAAGTGAATCAGTCGTAGCTGTACAGCCATAGATTATTTTTATTTCAATTAATGTTGTGGTATAGGAGATCTTTTTGCTAGCAAACCAGGATTGACTCCTGGATTAAACAAACATCTTGTATGATCTTTTAGTGCTTGGAGTGTTTGATGAGGATAACTCAGACATTATTATCAGGCTGAATGTTGGTTCAGTATAAAAAGAAATGACGAGTTAGAGCCGATTTTGCGTTTGTTATGGTTCTTTAGCTGTGGTTGCCATCATGGATCTGTTGGAATCAACCACTAATCATTTCTAGATGTACATCTAATGATTACTTTCTGAGAGTTTTATTAAAATCTGTCCAATGGTTCTTAAGATATTTTGCTCACAGTCAGATGAACACACACAAACACACACACACAGTTAGCCCTTCATTTACACGATCACCCTTCCTTTATGGTGATGAGTGATAAAAAACATTTTTTGTCCATATTAAAATTATCTGCTGAAAAGTTTTCTTGATAAACTCATGGGCCTGTTTGACCTGTAACTAATGTAGGTTTTAATTGGGGGCTCAAATATGAACCTGGAGCTTGCACAGTACAAATTATTACAGTACAAAGTGACCGCAGTGGCACAGATTTAACATTATTTTCATGCAAATTGCGAGTGTTGCATCATAAATATCCTTCCTGTTTGTCATCGTTTACTAGCTCAGCACAAAGAGAAAAAAAGTCATAGAAAAATCTAATTATTAAATAAAACGAGGCAGAAAATGTGCTCTTTTGAGATCTAAAAGTGTCAACGGTATTAATTTTTTTCTTTTCATAGATAACACCTCCATTTTATTTTTATTTTTTTTGTTCCCACAGGCCATATGTGATCCTGGAGATTGGGGTTGCAGTTTTGGTGATAGTGTTTTTGTTCTACTACCTCATCACTCGTGGAAACCCTCCTAAGGACATCCTCTTCTTTGGTAATCAGCACAGATATGTTCCAATTCAGAAAGCTACCCAATTCCCAACACACGGTCTGTGAATGGTTAAATCTTTCTGTGCATTGATATGAAGCTGATTTCAATCCTCACAGAAGGATTTCCAGAAGCTCGAGCCGCTGTTTACTGCGTCAGAGTGAAAGCACGAGTCGTAGTGAACGTGATTCTGTCTGATATGCTCAAAGCTGCTTAAACTGATCAGCTTTTCTCTGGCAGGACTGAAGCAATCCCTTTGCAGGCTGAGATCCTTCACTGTATTCACACTTATTTAACATTTATCTTATTATATTAAGACGACATCCCTGACTGAACACGTGCAAAATGCACAACACTTTTAAACCAAACACATTCATGTGACAGGAGCAGTTTGTTCTTCTGAGTACACCGATGGCTGCAGGTCAAGAAACTTCTGCCTTGGGAACTTGTGAGCACTTTGTGTTCCACTAGTTACCTAGTAAAGCTAAACTGAGTTGCACTGGTTCACTAGTAAATATTTAAAGCACTGCTATTTTATTCAGTCAGACTAGTTAACTAGTTGACATTTTATAACTACACTAGTTCTCTAATAGGGCCATTAAAGCTTTACCTACTGAACTAATGGGCTGCCTTGGCATTACTAGTTTACTAGTTGGATCAACTTTAGTAATATCAGTCAACTTGACAATATTTTAAGCCTTACTAGTTAACTAGACAACATTTTAGATGCACAGGTTAATTAGTTGGGCAGTTGTTAGAGTTGTTGCCTCACAGCGAGCAGATTGCCGGATCAAATCCCGGTTGCGTGTCTCTCTGGGTGGAGTTTGCGTGTTCTCTGCGTGCATGCGTGGGTTTTCTCCGGGTACTCCGGTTTCCTCCCACAGACCCAAAACATGCATGCTAGGCTAATTGGTAACTCTAAATTGTCCCTAGGTGAGAGTAGTGGTGCAAAAATAAAGCTTTATCTCATGGATTTTGAATAAATACACTCATGGCTTGCCATAGCCGTAAAGGCAACGCTTGTAAGTCATTGTGTCACATTTATGAGTTAAGTGGTAGTTTTAAGGACTGAAACACAGGTCAACACTTGGAAGAGGATGAAAGCCAGAGTTTTAATTATTCAATAACTAATACAATTTCTTGGGATTCTGGGGATAAAATAAACATGTGTGCAGTTAACTATGTATTTATGATATAAAGGTTTGTAGGCTTTATCATCCACGTAAATAAATACAAAAAAGTTAAATCATGTCATCTGGACAAGTTTCTTTTGTCCAAAGGACCAAAGGTATTTTCTTGTTTCAAAAGGAACTCGTCATGTGATTTAACCTTTTTTTTGTATACTGGTATGTGATATGTATTATGTCCAGTTTGTTTTAGTTGCCAACTATTAGCTGCCTATTAAAATGGATAGTTATGAATATGCATTTGTTATTTACCATTCTCCCCCAACTGATGTTCTAAAAGGCACACTGATGCTAAATGACATCTATAATAGTTACAGTTATGAAATTACAATATTATTGAGCTACCATCAAGAGAAGGCAGTTTATTACGAGTTTTTCTTTGGCTCCACATTTTAATAGTGCCAGTTGGACCTGGCCTTTCAGCTCTGCTGGGCATTAAATCTGAAGATCGGCTCCTTGCTGTGAATAAAATATGCCTTCAGCTTATCTCATGGCTCAAGACTTCATTTTCTCACCCCGGTGTCCCATAAATCAATGGCAGGCCAGTTGAAAGCAAACGTTTTACACTCAGAAATAGCTATTGCATAATAAAGGTAGTCAAACTTTTTCCTGCTAATTCAATCTTATGTATTTTACTAAACCTTTTTCAAAGCCGACATTTTGACTCGTCAGAGCAACTGAAGCACAGATCAGGTGGATCTAATTGACATAGGATTTTAACAGCATACATGATCTGGGTTATGAATTATGCTAGCAATTTTCCTTCTATGACAAATCAAAACTTCTACTGGGGAAGTAAAACCTTATTGAGGTGGCAGCAGTCTATAAATAACTTATCAATTTTAGCAGTCTCTTTAAAGTTGGCAAAACAGTTTAAGTGGAGAAGTAGGAGCAAGTGTATTTTTATCAGCTGCTTCATCATTGTCAAGATAACTACAGCTAATAGTTTGAATCAATGTTTCCTAAAAGGAGAAGAGGATCATATTGCATTGTATTGTATTGAATCCAACCATATTACATTGTATCATACTGGATTTAATTGCATTGCATTGCCTTAAAGCATTTGTATCACATATCACATTGTATAGCATTGTATTTCTTTGCACTACATTGTATCGCATCAAATCAGATTGTATTGTATCATATCGCATTGCATTGCATCAAGTCATCCCATGGTATCTGACAGTATTGTATCTTGCTGCACTGTAGTGAATCATCTCATTGTGTATTGGGCCTATTGTTTGTATTGTTTGCATCATATTGCATCAAACATGTTGTACTCCCTGTATTATTGCTGTATTGCCTATATAATTTTGTACCATATTGTTTTGTATCGGGAATAAGGGTTACTAATTTTTTTTTTTTAATGTGGTATACAGGTATTTTTTCCTAGGTTTTCATTGCATACATAAATAGCACACATACAAACAGGCACACATCTGGAACAAAAGACCTCTGACACTAAAGTCCCATTTTCTTTGCCTTTACAGTTTTTGCAGAATTTTCGTTTACCTGTGTTATTGACCTGATAAGTGCTTTGGAATATGACGGCATCGTTTCTGGCTTCATGGAATTCTACCAGAAAACAGTAAGTTTTGTATTTTGACATTTTAGCCATTGTGAACATTTAAAGAAAAAACAAAATCAACATCTCTTTTCAAGCTCTACACATAAACTCAATGCCAAACTGAAAGAGCTGATAGTCATGTTGGGAAAATGTGCATTATTGGATACATACGGTATGTTAGTGTATGTTTGTGTTTTAGGGTGAACCCTACTTGGGGACAGCGTATGGTATCATGATGTGCTACTGGGATGGTATAGTGCACTTTATCATGTACCTGATGATGATCAGCAGGATAACTGACAGGTGAGTGGCTGGAAAGTTTGCTTAAAGTGCTTTACAGTGCTTTACACCACAACATGGTGCCCTTTCTAGCTGAGTAAAGGATGTTGTGGAAACTGCAAGTGTATGAAAACGTGTGAAATCAAATTATCCAGCTTTGTAAATGTGCAAGGTGAGCCTTTGAGTTAGATGCAAGGGTATATGTAAGAAGTTCTAAAACAGTTGAACAAAACAGCACCTCCAGGTTAATTCATTTGCTTGAAAGATTAATTTCAATGGAATTTTTTGCCTTGTGTCTTCTTTATGTCTCCCACAGGAGAGCCTACCGTAACCTGGGCCTGTTCTGGGCTGGCTCGTTGTGTGCCAACATGAGTGTGTTTATTACTGGAATAGTAGCAGGTGAGCCTGTTAATCTTCACTTCCTCTTCCTACAGTTCCATAATGACAAGCTTTAATCAAGTGACCATCTGCCCTGCCGTGTACCATCAGTGTCACAGTTCAGCCTGCCAACACAGCCCACAGAACAAAGCAGGCGTGCAGCATCTGTTATTGGCATTTCAGGCTGAACCTGAGTGTCACAAGATCAAACTCATCTGTAGGCCATGTGTGCAAATTGTATATTATGCGTTTGCTGCATGCTTTCTTCTGCAGGTTTTTATAGGACGTTTAATTACTGTACAATTATTGTTGTATGGTTGATGACCAGCTGATGAAAGTGTGTTTCTGGCAGGTAATTATGGGTCAGAGATTCGTCCCGTCTTCTGGATCAATTTCCTATTTCTTTTGATGCCTGTGTGGGGAGCTGTTTCCTTCTTCACTCGACAAAAGGACAGACCACTGATTGGTGGATACAATGTGAGTCTAATCATTTGGAGAAATAAACATCATTATATCAAAAAAGGAGATACAGTTAAACATTATGAAGATGGTGGGATTAAAGCAATAGATTTTGAATTAATGAATGGCGTATTAAAGCTTAAATGGCTTCAATCCTTTCTAAAAAAATGCTCATGAGGTTTGGTTTGCTGTCCCCACTTTGGTTTTTAGTAAAGTTGGAGGTACTGACTTCCTGTTAAGATGTGACTTTGACATTCTTAAATTACCTGTTAAATGATCTGCTTTTCACCAACAGGTGTTATTAAACTGGAAAATATCATACAAACATAATTTTAGTCCTCATAATGTTCCTTTTTGGAACAACAGAGTCGTTCTACACAGAAGGAAGTCTGTGTTCATGGGAACATGGATGGAGAGGCAAATATGGCCACTCACTCATCTCATGGATGAAAAGGGAAATCTATATGAATATGAAGAATTCATTAAAAAATATAATTTAATCTGTACCAAAAAAGACTATGACAAAGTAATAAAAAATATACCAATTGCATTTGTTCAGTTAATAAAAAAACAATTATGAAAGTAAACCAACAATTAGTTTACCGAGCATTAATCTCAATGGACTAAATTTAATACACAAAAATTGCAACAACAATTTTTTAAGACAACATTTAATAAAAAACAATATATACTGGTCAGGTAAGAAGAAAGTTTCACGATTTCTACGATAAGAAGGAAAGAATAAAAATAAGGACAAAAGATCTGGGTTTGCCTCTTCCACCTAAATATAAATAATTACATTTCAAAACTTTAAATAATATTTATTCTTCAAACGAGTTTATCAGAAATAGATTTCATTTTGAATGCGATAACTGTTCTATATGTAACGAACCTGAAACAACAGAACACGTGTTTTATTTATGTAATTCTGTGAACACGTTATGGAAATCCCTTCATGATCTTCTGACCATGAAATCCATGAACATGGACTCTCTCTTCAAAATGTTTATGTATCTGAAAATAAAAAAGATGAATACTTTGTTAATAACATTATCATAATACTAAAATTCTATATACATAAATGCAAATATGGCAAGTCTAAGTCATTATGGTCTGTATTCATACAAGAACTCCAGATTATAACAAGAATTACAGATTTCATTGGACTGTGTTAAAAAAAAACCACACGCAAAACATCTGTGATCACCTCAGATAAAAAAAACCCTGACAAATTATTTTAGTAATTATGTAGAATGCTAGATATATAGTTCTATGTTTTTTGAATTTGCTTGTACCATATTATTTGCAATTTCTTTCATAATAATATTACCTAAATTTAATTTCATGATGGTTGTTATGATAATTTATGAATATGTTGAACTTAGGAGGTATGAAAGTAGATATTTTTACATGTTTATATGTATCATTGGAATTTGAGACTGCCATTTGTTATTATGTTAGTGTGTTCACTTGTGCTGTATGTTCAATTGTTCAATAAAGTAAAAAAAAAAAGTGAGTCTAATGATTAATAAAATAGTTTTGAGACAAGTGTGAAGAATGTTAGAATTGCAGTGTTTACTGGGTGTATTTAGGCAGAACAGTAAACTTTACTGTAATCCCAGTGAATTCAGCCTTATAACGAGTCATTGTAACTTACATTGGCAGCGTGGTCATTTATAACACGTGTACTTAAATTGGATATATTTTGTGTTAGATGTGATTTGTTGCATGTTTTTTCACTATTTATTTAGCTTGGTTTGGGCACTAAAATTTCTCTTTTCAGGTTTAAATACTCTTAGTTTATATTAAATACATCCTTTACCAGCTTGTACTGTTTGGTGCAATGGTAAACTAGTCAACAGCAAACTGTTACATTCCCTTTTGTTTAATGCAGTGTTACATATGTTATTCCTCGAAACCTAAAATGGTCCAGGTAATGCTTGAACCTGGACTGAAAAAGCAGATTTATTTATTTATTTTTTTTGTTAAATATTCTGACAGCAAAAACAGCACGTGTTGCTAATGAGAATAATATTGTTCTCTTTAGATAATGGACATAACTGTGTAAGACAATATTATCAGTTTATATTAAACTATCAGTTAATATTGTGTCAGTCCTTTTTTAAAGGGCTTTACTTTCTTTTTTAGTCTCTAATTTTTGAGACCTCGTGACAGAATGACAAACGTTAATACATTTATGGATGTTTGTAAACTTGAAACTGTGACCTGTTAATGATCGAGAATAATAAAATCACAATCTGGACTAACCAGCTCTGTCCTCTGGTGACACCTGCTCACAGGCCCAACATGCTCAGAGTTTGAAGCTAATCTGGCGTCCCTTGGATATGATCTTGGTGGTGCTCTTGTTCGGTGCCATGGGCTTCACCACCATCAGAGGTTTGGTGAGTAGTTACATCATGCGTACATAACGTTACAGACAAAATACAAGGCAGACCTGTAACAGTTCTAAAGACATTTAATTCCAGTTTGTTCCCTTTTTGAACCTCTTGAGCTCCAAAGGGTCTTTTTGACGAGTGGTCAGTGAACCAGCACAAAGCCAGCAGTCTTGTTCAGGGTTTTAATTTGACTTTTCATTTAAAAAACAAAACACTATGCATCAAATGACTGAGCTCTGTGGCACTGTTATATGATATTATTCTCCATCAGCATGAAAGATGATCATGTGATAGTCTGTGAGTGTGTTTCTCTGTCTGTTTGCAAACCATCTCTCGAACCATTTTATGAACTTTTTTTTTGTAATTCTCAGAGTATAAACAATGAATGTGCATTTACAACTAATCAACATTTGTACTAAACCTAAATCAAGATGGCCACCACATCTAATGAGTCTTAGCAAACGCAAATGGCTATATCCCTGTGTCTATTTTAAAGATACCAATTTAAAATTTAACGTGGTAGCAGCTGACCACCACGCCTATCGTATCCTGGTGCCAACAGATTGTGCACGATTGCTGTTTAAAACATGGACATGCAAGGCAGTGGACGACATGCAATACTTCACGAGATGCCACTTTCATAACTGCATGCTTTAAGAGCAGAAAGCAATGAAAAGCAAATAAAAAAAATAAAAAAAATGAAATAAAAATAAATAAAAATATGCAACATATGACAATTAAGCAATTATGTTATTATACATGTCATACCCAAATGAACCAAAGAGTGTGTTTTTTTTATTTTTCTGTGTGCAGAAGCATCATTATGGAAATATGTCTCATTATAAATCAATACAATTTATATTTACATTGACTTATTAGGTATTACAATAAATCACACCCTAAATTATCTCAAAATGGTTTTTTTTTAAATTGTAATTATGCAGTTTTATTTTTTAGAAGATTTTTTCAGAAAATTTTGTGCATCTACATGGCATCGATACAATTTTAAACGTATTTAAATCTGTATTGATTTTGCGTGTGTTAATAAAGTTCTGTTCTCTGTAGGTGGCTCTGGACTCTCCACTCCAAGCCTGCTCTGTTTACTTGAACCAGTATGAACCCTACCTGAAGGATCCTGTGGGCTACCCCAGAGTCATGGTGGGTTGTTTTATCTTTCATTCACCTCAAGCAGCTGAAGCACCTGAGAGCTCTTCTCCACCCTGTTAAAAAACCAAACAAGCCACATCCAGTAACAGTTCTTAGGTATCGCTTTGGGCATGCTTAAAACCTGGCCACATTCCATCTTTGAGCTTGCACCTAATTCTGAGGTGTTTTTTTCATTGTTACAACACAAACAAACACGGGCCAAAAAGCCTGACATATTTGCATCGCTTCTTTGTTTACCTAAGGTTGATGTACGGACGGTTATGGACCGACAGTTGGTCCGCTTTCAGTTTTTTCTCCTCTTTTGACTCTCCTGCTCTGCTTTGGGCTTTTGTTGTTTTTTGTTTAGCATACTGGTCAATAGGTCGTCTAAAGACATCGCAGAGACTGCAGTCCAAGACCAATTGAAATCATTGATCAGACAGACAAAGCACACTTCGAGAACTTAATAAGCTAATCCCTCAGCCAAAGTCTCCCATCAGCATCTGGCTGGGTGGGAGTAAGATGTGTGCATGTGCAGCATGTAAAATATGTCTGTGTTTACAGGCGTGTGTTTGTGTGCTGCAATGTGCACAATCATATTACATGTTAGGGAGCAAAGAATAAATATTGCTGGTCTTGTTGCACAACGTTAAACATCTCCTGCTGTGTTCAACCTCTTTATTCACCGATAACAGTGAAGGACGTGCCAGATTAGCGCTGCAGCAGCAACAATCACATTTCAACAAAAGACTGAAGGGCACGCGTGATTGGCTTTTAAGGCATTGTGCTTTACTCATTAGAATTCATGTGAACACGTTAGACCAGGAATAAGAAACTGTTTGCTGGTGTAGTTGAAGGGTTTTATAAGGTTGAAAATGGACTCTAAGGATTTAGTTAGTTTTTTTTTTGGCTTAACGTCAAGAAAGTCTTAAATTGTGTTTTATTGTTTGGAAATCATTTAAGCTGTGTACAGCAGTGTACGGGGCGGCTGTGGCTGAGTGGTTAGAACAGTCGTCCTCCAATGCAAGCGTTGGGGGTTCGATTCCACCAACAGTCACATGCTGAAGTGTCCCTGGGCAAGACACTGAACCCGATGTGTGTCCCATCAGTGTATGAATGTGATAAAACACTGATTATTCTTTGTACAGATCTAGTAGAGTGCAGTATGAATGGGTAAATGAGGGCACAGATTGTGTTGTAAAGCACTTTGAGTATCTTCATAAGATAGAAAGGTGC